TGTGCAGTCCAAACACAACCTTGGCCCATCCTTACAAGGAACTAAGTCCATTACAATCTGGCCAGGTTCTCCGATGATATACAGAGACTGTATCAAACTGCTGTGCACCCACAAGAGAAATTTCTTTCATTGAAAACTAGACCAGGCTGGTGCTTGAGGGAGCATTTTGTTCATAAATTAAATTAATAAATGTGTCCACATATGCTGTTAATAAAAGGACAAGTTAGAAACCATTTGGGTTTGTGGGATGTGATTTCTCTTTGCTTTTCATCACTAGTGGATTCACATAGATTTGAATCTGTTAGATATGAAGCTCCAGCCAGCGCCACAAGTCTATTAGTGTAGCTTAGCATAAAGGCGAAACCAAGAAATAGTCACATAGACTCCTGTAAAAACCCCAATTTGCCATATTTGCACTCCAGTTTTTGGAGATATAATATTTGAATTAGTGACTTTGATAAATATAAGGTAAACAGCCAGAAACCTGTTAGCTTAGCTTACTGCAAAGACGTTAGCCGTAAAGACATAGAAAAAAAAAGCTAGCCTGGCACTGTCAAGAGGTAACACAATCCATCTACCAGCATCTAAAGCTCATCATCATCATCATATCTCTCGTTTGTTCAATCAGCACAAAATCCAAAGTGTTGAAAACGACACGACGGAGGTTATGTGCTGGACCGAGCCAGACTAGCTGCTTCCCCTTGAGTCCAGTGTTTGTGCTAAACTACGCTAATTTATTGTTGGTGAGAGCGGTGTCAATCTTCTCACCTTAATCTCGGAAAGAATGGTAATAAGAAGCCAATGGTTACCATAAAATATAAAAATCATGTCCAGGATAGAGCAGGGTTGGGACAAATATATCTGTGTGCTATTACAAGCGGGGGGGGGGGGGGGGGGGGGGGGTTTTTTATACTTTTGGGATAATTCTATTTAATCTGCAAGTTGATGGACTATGATGAATCGCCTGGAAAAAGAGATGTGCACATAACTACATTTTTGCACAAAGCTGATATCCTTTCTCTAAAACCCAAGGACACGCATGTGCACACACACACACACACACACACACACCTCCCAGTCTGAGAGTACAGCATGGCTATCACAGAAAGCATTCCATCATACTGTCACTCACATCTGCTGCCCTTTCTCATTACCGCACCCTCACGGTTCTCCCTCTCTCCTTTACCTCCCTTTCAGCCAAACCCCCTATTTCTCTCCTCCTCTGAAAACCATCCACATTATTCTCCCCTTTCTTCATGCTATACTACAGTCCTTCCCGTGGCAACAAATACATGAACAGAATTCCTGAGGACATTGATGGTGCGGAGGCAGGTGGGCTGAAACGCTTTTACACCATGTCTGATGTCCTCAGAGCCTCAGACAGCATGTTCGCCGTCTGAAAAAAAAGGCCACAGAGTAGTTTCAATACACCTCACATGAGTGAAACGGAGAAGTGATTTTTCACATGTGCGAACCGGTTTATGGTGCCAGAATTAGACGGCAGGTATCTTTTTTTTTTTTTTTTTCACCTCTCCCTGAACATGTGAAAATGGATTGATGGAAAATGCCATTGTTGCATTTCAGAAAATATACAGCATACACATGGGAATTCTGTCTGTTTGGGCAGATGTAGTTTGCTGCAGTCTCTGCCATCCCCCCCCCTCCCTCCCTCCTCCGCTTCCAGAGAGGGATAAATGACAAAACCATGTCTTGTCTGGCGATGCAAAGAGGATAATTAGGATTCACGAAACACAGTTTGTCCTCAAAAGCAAATCACTTCCCTGTTGCTCAGGGGCTACCAAGGCGCAGATCATTTTATATATCAGCACCTAGCAACTGGCAGATGGAGTGAACTTAGTGCAGGCTGCCAAAGCTGATAGGACACTGCAGGACTGCAAAATGAGCTGTGATGATTCCCCTGCTGAGGCCAACAAGAGAGACATACCTCATTAAGATGCATAGCATCCTCGAATGCCCAGCCGCACTTTACAGCACCAAGTTGGCCCTTGCAAAAAATGTTCACGATGCCATTGAAAACATACAGTTTTGAGCTGATGGTTGGAAAACAAACACTAGCCAGCTTGGCAATGATAAGCTTGCAAGTGGTAGAACATCAAATAGGAGAGAAACATAAGCTAAATCGCTGTATAATATCCAGTTTAGAACCATGTTGTTGCACATTAATGAGCTGGTAAACACAATATTCTGACATGGAGAACAGCAAGACCTTTGACGTCCATTGTAGCCACTGATATCTGCATGGATGTGAGAATGCTGTCCATTTTCTCCTTATAATGCCACAACTCGACTCTCTGCATGGAGAGAGACAGGTCATTAAAACTGCACCTGTAGCGAGGGTGTTGCTCACCATCTATCATAAACCTGACAGCAAAAAACACCTTTATTGTACAAGCAGGCAGAGAAATATTCTCATTACAGAACTACTTACTACCCGAACAGGAAATCAGAGGTGAATATACTCCTTTTATCTCGTTTTATTTGGCACGGGGGTCCCGGGACGCCCTCGGCACGGCCTCCTGACGCCGAGGCTGCAGCCAGCGTGCAGTGTGCCAGCAAACATACCAGCCTGCATCACATTTGCGCCGCAGCTCAACACCATACATCATCGCCTGACCAATTATCTCTCATCTCCATCCTCAACCCCTTTAGCTTATCGTCCACCACAACTCTAACCCATTTATTTTGTCAGTTTATTTCTTCCTGTTACTCTCTCAACAAAAACCTGCTTATTTCATGAGCCTGCTCCCAAAGGATGTCATCCTCCTTTCCTGTATTAATCAAAGCACAGGAAAGAAACTGATTTTCTCTCATCAAACAACAGAAACACAAGGAGGAGGTGTAGATATCAGAGAAAGAGTAGCAAGAAGAATAAAAACACACTGCAGGGACAGAAGAAGAAGAAGAAGAAGAGAGACAAAGACAGGGAGGCAGAGACTCCTGGGACGGACCGACGAGGCTGTGGAGAGAGGAGCTTAATTTCCCAACACCATCTGCTACCATACCCTGGGTTGAAAGCTCCACTTATGTCAAACCTCCCACAACCGAACACCAGCAGAGCTCCGAGGAGCTGTGGGAGACCCCGCTGTCTTTTCCTTGTCGGTCCCCTGCACAGGATTCCTCCTCCACACCTATGCAAACCACACACACTCTCATCCTCCACAGTGGCACCAACACACACTTTAGCTGAGATAAATGAATCTGCCTACTGCTATCATCTGGGTCATGGAGGGTTTAACACTCTGTACAAGGCAGAAAATAAAGCATAATTACTTGGGCACCAACATGTTAGATGCCCTTGTGCTCTCCAGGAAAAATTGATTTTCCTTTAATATATTCACCTTCATGCCAGGTCACTGTCCACTCAATCAATGGGGTCTTGATACAGTAACTCCTGTTTCTATTGTGTTGGGAGTCAAAATGATCTTGATAAACTGTCCGTGTTTAATCTTTGCCGGCTGGCATCGATTGAAGCAAAGCCCACAGGGAATGCTGGGTATACGTATATAGGCCTTTCTACTGGGAAAGAAGGGCCCACAACTCAAAATGTGTCAATGGAAGTGCCTCCAAGCCACTGGTTTTCCCTTTTTTCCTTGTAATGGAGGCACTGAGGACTCTGGTGGTGAAGTGTCTGGCCTACATTCAAGACTCAGTAGAGATATGGAAATATGTCAAATTGTAGGGATGACGACAATTGTATGTATGTTAAATATAGCTTAAGTGCAGTCCCAAATAATAATGCTTGAGGAGGGTGTTACCTGCAAGAAAGTGAAGGTCAGAAGTTATTTTATGTATGTACTTGTATTTCCGCAGCTTCTTAATTGGAAGTAAATGTTTCTCCCATGTCTGAAACCTTTCTTCAGGGCAGACCTGGTTGCAGTTCCTGCATCCACAACGTGAGGAAATGCTGATATCCATAAAATAACAGGAGACAGTGGGGGTGGGGGGTTACCCCCGAGGACAGACCATTCCCTGGCATTTTAATCACTTCTTTTACACGCTCTCTCTGGGTATTTCTATGCAAATAATCCGAAAAGGTCACGCAGCAAAGAGGGATATCTATTCTGTTCCAAACGGTGTTTATAAACAGAAAATGGTAAACGTCCACGCAGAGACTCGCTTATCTGTGCTTCAGCCATCTAGGATGAACTACTGATTAATATTTGATCAAACTAGTAAATACTTTTAGTAACTGCTTCAGTGCATCCAACTCGTTATGCATTTTCATCAGTGAAGAGAGTCCTCATGTGGACATCTGCGTTACTACAGCTAAATCCTTAAGCCAATTCAAAGCACCAGTGCAACACTAATATGTTCACATTAAAGTTTACCGGTGATGACGGGACTAAAGCTACCAATAAGAAAATCAAACCTTAAAACTCAGAGAAAATTACGTTAACAAAATAGAGAAAAATATCCTTAAAGTGGTCAGCACATTCTGAAGACTATGTTAAAAATAATAATAATAATTACAAGCACTTTATAAGCCCAGTAAGTAATTTATATTTGATGTTGCCCAACAGTTAAAATGGTATATAAATGAATGGCTGAGAAATAAATCAGTTGTTTGGCTGCTGTGAAGTAGTGTCCCTGCAGAGACTGGATGTCACTGTCAACATTCTAGTTTGTTCAAGTCAAACATGAAACCAAAGACTAAACGTACACTGATGTCAAAGTGATGGAAGTTACTTGAGGATGGCAGTCTACAAACACAACTTGAGTGTCTGCGAGTACTGAATGCTGTAAACAGTAATTCAGATGTTTACAGAGACCCTCAAACCTACAGACCTGTTCTACAGCCGTGGGCCTTAAAAGATGTAAGCTGAACACAAAAATATGTCAAAATGAATAGACGTTCAAATGAATAAACCCACGGATAAACATTTTTTTTTCCAATTTTTTCCAAAGTTTATTTGATGACAATATACAAGAACATCTTGAGCACGGAGACCCTCCCTGGTTGTCCGGGCTCACTGTGGGGAGAGAACAGCAGAATTAATACCAGAGCACATTTAAATCTTACAACAACAAATGTTAACTATGTTTGGGCAAAACAAACAGTTTTAAGACCAACATCATAGTTGGAAGCTTTGTAAAACATCATGACTGGAGTAAGACATTTTCAGGAAACATTTCTGTGGCGATTCACACACTGGCAGGCTTTTAGCTCAACTAACCCACTCAACACACTACAAAACTAAGATCCACATGCTACACTCAAGCTCTGCCTCTATTAACTAGAGATGTGAAGCATTATCAAAGCACTTCGTCTCTGTGTAAATGTAAGGCAGAGTGTGCAAAGCCTAATGGATATGCCCATTATCGTGGTACAAAGGACCAGGGGAGAGGGAAAAGCCTATTAGCAGGGAGTTTGAAACAGGGGGGGGCACTGAAGGAAAAGTCGAGGGGAAGGTAAGGTGCATCATGCATGCACAGCTCAGGTCTTTCAGCTTTTGATGTGCAACACAATGGCACACCATGCTTGTTCAGCTTCTATACCTGCACACTGACACTTCACTTCTGCAAAAGAAATCCACGGGATGCAAAATCGAGAGCAAAAGATGGAACAAAATAATGTCAACATGCTGAAAATAAAAACATGGAATAGAAAAGATCTCTGAATGGATTTGTCGCAGCTGTACTCAACAGGTCAGTCAGAACCAAGCCAATGGAAACTATGGTAGATGTGGCAGGACGGTGCCAATATTTAAAGAGCCAGTTTGTGCCGTAGCTATTACAGTCCAGCTGTTTACAGTGCAGCTGTGTTGTAATTCAGAGATCTATTCTACGTGACTTTAGAACAGTGACTTGTGCTATAGAGGGAACAAGAGTATTTAGGGTTCTATTGAAACAAAACTACACCAGGAGGTTTCACAGACACTATGTTTTAAGTTATTTCCTCTTTAGGCTGTGGGGTCTCCTAACACAGTCGTTAGCTTCTCAAAACACGGTCTAGAACACTACTAGATTCCAGGTCAAGCTAGTAATTGGTATAAGGAGAAGGATGAGCCAGGACAGTATTCACTAGTGGGTCAAATCCTTTACATCTGATGCATCATGTACATCTAGGGATAAAGCACTAAGGCTTTGGCTCTCAGGTGGGTAGGTGAGGGTGTAAAGGTAGGAGACTCCGGGATCATCTACGTACTACAGTTGGTCTATTTATTACCTTCTACAGTTCCCAAAGAACATGCGATACGATGGAAAAGAAAATTCAAAGTAGTAAAAGTTGTGAGCAAAAAAATAGCAGGAATGGTTAAGAATAGTTGCAATGAAAGTCAAGAAATAAATCAAGCGCCCTGAATTGAATTATGTCTTATTTGACAATAAATACATTATATTTCCTTATGGCATACTATCACAGGAACACTGCGAGTCCATTCTGTTAACAGAGCCAATGTTTACGCATGTTTAGTGACTGCTCATTTGGTAGAAAGTATCTAAAAACAGTCACAATACCTTTTTGCCAGCAGCGCCCACACTGGCCTTCTTGGTGCCTCGTACTTTCTTCATTCTGTTCTTGCGTTCCTTGCGCTGTTTCCTGGAGGTCTTCTTTTTCTCATAGAGACCGTGCTGAGGAACACAAATGAACACGCGTTTCATTTGACTTCATACTTCAGCAAATCATAACCTACTTGATGTTAAAAATATCTTCACAATGGTCACATTACTTGGTGGCAGCCATGTGTAACAATGCATGTGTACTGAAAAGCTGAATGAAGTGCTTTAAAATATTTAGGGGTCTACATTGGGCCTCGGCTGATTAGCTTTTAATAAAAATATTTCAAACTGTGCATACAAAAGATGACCTGCCTCCAAATGACTGGGCTGTTCCCACATTATCCACCATCGATGTGGGATGTTAATTATGGAGAAGCAACTTGCATTCTATGGTATAACTGTTCATACCATCAGGAGCCTATATATTATATACATGTATATTCAGGGGCTGACCACTCAGAGGGGAGTGAAGAGCTTCTGCAATACAGAACGTTAAGACAATTCGGCTGCATGCTGTTGAAGAATGTGAAAGAAAAGTTGATGCCTTCTGCAGTCAAACACCATCGTCGACCAAAGAGTTCACACAGACGCAATGGTTCAAGACTCACTCTGGCCAGTCTGTGTTTGGGCTCGTTCTTCTTAGCGTAGTCTAGAGAGTCGTACACCATCGCAAAGCCTGTTGTCTTGCCGCCACCGAACTGAGTCCTGAAGCCGAATACAAACACGACATCGGGGGTGGTCTTGTACATCTTGGCGAGTTTCTCCCTGATTTCAGTCTTGGGGACCGTGGCCTTGCCGGGATGCAGGACATCGACGACCTGCAGAGAGAGAGACAGGAAGTGAATACATGACTGTTATCACAGAAAAACTCATCTCATGGTGGCATCAGCACAAGTAACACTGCTGAGGTGTTTCAAAACACTTACCATTTGCTTCCTCTGAAGCAGCCGGTTCGTCATGAACTTGCGGGTCCTGACTGTCACTGTGTCATTCTGAAGGAGGGAGAAAGCAGAAGATGATGCACACTAATGGACAATATTTCAACAACTCATTTCCAGCCTGAAACCACTGATCTCAACACTAAAAACAGGCCCAGCATTAATTTGCAGCGTACCTCACCAGGTATCAGTACATGCTGTCACATATTTTAGCTTCTCAGTTGACTAACTAGCTAATATAGCTAGCTAAGCAGGACACGTATGTTTCCACGGCCTCAATACAGCCCTGTCTCTAAAACAACCATGTGCCAGTTGATAAAGCTGAGCAATACTACCGCAGTTTAATTTCCCTGTTCATGTAACATGAGGGCCATGGCTACCAGTGTAGTGTATGCTAACGTTGTTAGCTGGGAGCTAGGACTTCACGTCCATTTATTGACAACCAATACACGTCTAAATACTCCTTTGAGCATCAGTGTAGTTTAACGAGAATTCATGGGGAACACAAATTAATGTAAACACAAATAGGAAAGTATATGAACCATCCCAAAGGAGGTAAATACAGTGTGTGTATAGCGTCCTGACGAACAACTGGGTTAGCATTTGGATGGTGCCGCTGAATTTCCTCTCAGCTAGCGTCAAACCTCATCAATATCGAGCTTATACTATAGCGCACACTTAAACCATCACTTATAGGGAATGGAATGTGTTCAGATGGACGGATGGCCTCGATGATCAACGGATTATACTTTATATTCTACCACCAGACTCACCATCTTGACGCCGGGCTCGCTCAGGGACGTAGAAAAGGAGGAAGGACCAGCAGGCGACCGGATTAATGCCTGCACAGAAATGAGTGGGCACCTACTTGCCTTGCCTGACGTAAAAACATAGTCTAAGAACTCGGTGAAAATGTTTTATTGTTTTTCTTTCAGCAAACGTAATATAGAGCTAGTACATGATATAGTCTTTATAATACATTACAAAGAATTAACCTATTCGCGTTCGCGTATTTAGGCAAAGCCTGATGTTTTTTCTCCGCCACCAAAACAATACTTTTTATTTCTGCATTCATGCAGACAGATCAATAACATTAATGAACATTGAGGTAAAAACACAAGCTGGGCCGTTTAGATGTGTAAATTGTAAAAGTGTAAAAGTAATGTGGATAAACTGACATGTCGGAAAACGTCACCTGCGGTTCCTCTTTAGTCCGCTGGACGTCAGTAATATGCGTCTGAATATTACTAATATTATGCAGACTATGCATGCCAGCTTTTTAATTTACCCGGACACCCAGAAACCTACGAGACAGTTGATTTTGTACTGCAGTGGCGTAAATTCATGCAATTAATCAAAGAACATCACATGTAGTTCACTGCTCCCCATACAGTTAGTTGTCCAAATAAAGTCCCATGAATAGAAAAATGAATCGAAGTGTGTGCGAAGAGGTTTTATTTTTAGTTTGTTAAGGAGTACTTTTGATGTGACATTTCAGATGTGGAAAGAAGGCTCCGCTCTGTTGCACAGCATGAGTCAGTGTTACTGAGGCAACATACTGAGAAATATTGTGGTAAAAATATACAGAAGAGATTCCTGCTCCGTATTGAAACATTGTAAGAATATTGGCCTTTACTTAGTCATGTTAAACGATTCTATCCGTGTTTTTGTCACATTAGAAATAGCTAAAACCACACCAAACAGATCATTAAAAACACAACATCTAATTTTTTTGGTTACGGAACTTTATTGATCTTGCAGCAACAGAGTTCACTGGCATTGGAGTTTCATTTAAAATAAAGTTATACTTAAAATAAGAGCGGAAAGTTACAGTAAGTTTTGTTTCAAATCTCCTTCAACACACAATGTTCAGCCCTCATTGTCAAAACCAAACTGATTTGAAGTAAATCTGCAATCTGAATTATGATGTTGTTCTACAAAGTTTTACCGCCAAAAATATTCAATGCAAATTGGGTTCAAGCGACCCCTGAATGTATTTGTCACCAAACATGGCCAGAATTAAATAGAAAGCCAAAAAGAAAAAAAGAAAACCTTTGATAGACATCATTTCAGCCATTGTACTCCTGGTGATGTATTGTCCAAGTAAAGAACTGCTACTTGGACACGGTACAATTAACAGACATGACTATGATTATGATTAAAAAAAATAAAAAACAACAACATAAAAACACATTTGTTTTGCCAAATTGCCAAGAACAATGTTACCTGTTCAATGTTCCAGTGAAAAAATAAACATCTGTTGGAAAGTACAAATTGATGACTAGGAACCTAATTGTAGTGTCTGCATTTGATGTAAAGTAAGGCATGGACAGACAGGACACATGGAAGGAATAATGTTAAGGACACTGGGGACAGATCTGTGCTGTAGATGATCAAGCCTGATGCAAACAATGTCTTCTGGTTCTCTGACACTTCATTCAAAGGCTTCACAGTGCTGACACCCAAACAAATACCCCCCAATACTAAGAAACTAAATAAAAAAATAAAATGCATATAAAACATCTGGATATTTTGTGTTTCAAAAATCTAGCTTTTCACCCCAAAAATTGCCATTGTGATATCAACCATTTCCACGTTAATCTAAATGTTTATCTGGTCTAGATATTCAAAAAAACACCTGCCAGATGTTGCAGAGTAAAACCTCCTTTCTTAGAACGATCAAATTGTGAACAAAAAGCTTCTGCAAAGCTGGAGACAAAGTGTATTGACTTTTCTCAGCAGGAGGAATGTGCACAAACAATACTAGGAAGGTCACATTAGTGATGATTGAATGGCTTCATTGTTTTACTGTTCTGAAAGTTAATTCACGACAAAGTCACTGCCTAAAATTCATTTTTTAAAAGTTTTTGGAAACTCGCAGAGGCTTGTGTTGGGAATGGAAATTGAAGCATTGGAATGGCATCTTCACCTAATTGCTAAATAAAAACAAGAGCAGCATCCCTTTGCATACCATCACAGGAAGCTTATCAGACCAAACAACCGGTAATAGATTGTGGAGCTTTTCAAGTAGTTCAGAAAAGCAAAGAGACATAAAAAAAAAAATTAAAAAAATCACTTAAATAGCATGCTTACAAGGGCCTTCAAAACAAAACCAAAGACTGCGATGAATATCAAAGATTTTGACTGATTCTAAGGCCAGTGCTTCCCCTCCCAATTTACGTGGGATATTCTCAGTTGTATCGTGTGCTCTGTTAAAGATCCCGACTCTCAGAAAGCTGGAAGATGAGCACTGCAATCTGCTAATTGGACAAAGTGTCTGGCTACAGAATCTTCAGGCCGGCTCCCTCATTGTGTGGTTTGTATGTATGATACACTGAATCCCCATGGTTTACACACATTACAGTCAGCAGCGAGACAGAGCGCTAAAGAAGATGGCTGCCATGAGGGCTCACAACATTGGTTTCTACAAGCCAAGCCACTGGCACACGGGATGCCAGGTCATTTGCTTTTGCTGGTGCGGTTCCAGTCGGTTAGATGTCCATTTCAAACTGAGCATCATCACCTTGAAAGCAAAACAGAAGACAACACGGTGTTGAGGCATGTCTGGAACAGGGCTGGGTTGTTTAATTATCACGGTGGTTATTAAAAAGGTGCACTGCGTGATGCCTGGTCACATGTTTGAGAAGAAGACTGGTGGCTGTGCCAACACAACACTCCCTGTTACACAAGTTGGTCCATGCTGTGACTCTTACCGGTTGTGGTCTTGCCATCATGGTTGTTGATGCGGTTGTTGGCTTCATTCTTCTTGTTCTCTCTCAGGACATTTTGGCTGGTCACCCCAGGGATGACAGGCAGGTGAGCTGGATGAGTCTGGGCGATGGGAGAGTTACGCCGGTCCAGTAGGAACTTACGATCATAGATGATCCGGGTTCCTGCAACAAAACACATGTAAGGTCCAGTTACTCGTCAAAACGCTGGCCTTCATCCAGAGGGCCCGGATTGAAGCCACCTTGTCTAAAAACGTCTACATTTCTTACAATTAGTCTTTAGTTGAACACCGCTGCCAGTTCCAGTCTATTCTGAGGCAGATGCAGGGCTTTGACAATAAAAAGCAAGTCATAAATAATGTCAAAACTCCCTCCATCATGTAATGTACATGTTATTTGCTTTCTGAATAATGCTTTGCTGGCATCACAGCACTCTTGTTTATTTATCGTTCCCACATTAACCAGATTCACTAACCTTTTTCACAGCAGACAAAAAGAAAAGTAACTAATAACGATGGCTCAGTTACAGCGATGCAATATAGCAATTATTTTTATCAGTAACACCTGTGTATGACTGGTCAAAATGTCTGCTGTGACCAAAGGCTGTTTAACTCTGGTTTCACTTCACACTTTTCTCTGGTTAGGCCCCCCCCCCCTGCAATTGCTCCGTGAGCCAAGTTTAGTAACCACTGCTTTAGAAAATACTCACATTAATAGTGTCAAACAAAATGTGTATTTAAATTGAAAATATATGGGCAAATATTTTCATAATCACAGACTTGACATATGACATGATCATAATATATGTACACATATTCTATACACTGCAATGAATCATATAAATTACATATAAATGATTTGCTTTAAGCTGTTGGTTGTCACATAGGTGTCAAACACAACATTTCCTCCTTAACAGCACGATGCATTTACCAGAATCTCTGCGCTGCAAACCGGCCAATCAGACAGCCGCGTGAGAGCCCAGGGGGCGGGGCTTAGCTTTGTTTTTGTTTTGATCGTGATGACAAGACAGCCAGCAGGCCACGGTGACATAACATTTACAGGTTTGGTGAGAGTGCAAACCAACGATCATCATCATCCGTTTCCTCTGTGAATAGAAGCTCGGTGTTGATCATCTTACCTCCGGGTGTGGTGGAGAATAAAGTGCCTCCAGGGGTGGTACAGTAGTCATGAGGTAGCTGCGTTGTGTCGTTGATCAACACCGTCCTGGTCGGGATGGCCCTGCACTCGCTAAGCTGACGACTGGTCGACATTTTTCAGCGCCGTTGAGGTGACAAATCCAGCAGCTACAAGAAGTATTGCAGGTGTTTGTTTTCCCGACGGACGGTGGAAACCCGGGGGCCGTTTCCCACTCTCTGGTCTTCCTAGAAAGCTTTCTCGTCTCTCCTGTCGTCCTCCCAGCCGTCAGCACCGTCCGCTCCCTCAGCAAAGGCAGGAAGAGCGACGAGCAGCGGGCGGATGTGACGTCAGAGGCGTGGAGCATCAGCCTACTTTGTATTCCTTGATTAAAAACATGTGTTTTCGTTTAGAAATCATGCAGGCTGGTAGGAACTGTGACACGGTTGTCAGATTTCTCCATACCTGAACCCCATTATTCATAAAACTTTCACAATATAACTGACCTCATCTGAATATTCTTCTCATCCAGGAGCATAAATCATTGAAAAATCCACCTATAATCATACTATTTATTTTAATTCCCTAACGCTAATAATAACCAGTGGTGGAACAACTAAGTACATTTACTCAACCCATGCAGCCTAGGCTGCTTTCAGAACATATTTGAGGTACTTGTAGGACAACTTTCCATCTTTTCATCTTCGTTATCATGGGAAATATTGTGCAGGCTATTTTTATTTCAATATAATTATTGGAAATCTTAAATTACTAGATACTTACTTACTTACTAACTACCAACCAGTATATAGCCTACAGCTTAGCTGATTAATCAATTAGACAAATAGGTAGAAAATGCACTGGCTATTTTGATAATGGTTTGTAATGCAAAGATGCCAAACATTTCATAGTTCAAGCCTCAAATATGAGTATTAGCTTTTTTCAGTATCATATGAATTTTTTTTGAAGTTTGGAGAAAAAGTTGGACTGTTGGTGAGACAGAACAAGTATTGTGAAGGTGTCACTTTGGGTTCCAGGTAATTGTGATGCTATATCTCACTATTTTCATAATTTTATCAAACCGAACAATCAATCCAATATTGGAAACAATAATTAGCAGATTGGTCGATAATATAAATAGTTATTAGTTGCAGTATACAGAATAATTAAAAAATGATCACTGATACAATAGTTAAATCCTGCTTTTACATTAATGCATAGTGGTTACTGGAGCCATTTTTTCTGCAATGAGTTCTTTACTTTTAATATATGGGTACATTGTCCTGATTATACTTACACACTTTTATTTTAGGAACATACTTCAATGCATATTTGAGGCTGCATTCAAGTGCGTCTCGTAATCTTTCCACAGGTGGAACAATATTAAGTTTCCACAGTCAGAGGCGTCAAATTTTGAACTATTTGAAAACACACACACACACACACACACACACACACACACACACACATACACACACACACACACACTTTTGAAAAGATGGAAAGTAACATTTTACAACAACAATTATGATCAATAATTATAATATGTATTTATTAGAGATTTTTTTTTCCAAACTGAAACTACTACTGTTTCAAATCTACTTTAAACTTCAATTCGACCAGACTAATCAAGATGGTTTTAGGCACATTTCTTTGAACGTTCCGTATTATATGTGCAAACAATTTTGCCATCTGTATATAAAGACATGGAATACCAGGACTGCTCTGCTTTTTGTTTTTCGTCAGTTCACTAATTCTCCCAATATGCACTTAGACTTTTCTGCACCCTATAATTAGTGTCTCTGATGCAGATGCACAAGCCATAAGTCATGTGAGATCATAACCTCAGCAGCTGGTTATAATGAAATAACTAAAAGCTAACAGACAAGATGCATTGACTCAGGACATATATGTTGTAATTATTCAAAGCTTCAGTGTTTAGATATATTTAACCCTCTGAACCCCGAAAGATTGAAATATTGAAAAGCATGTTTTCTTAAAACAACCGCCAAAACTACACCGTTTATCATACTCAGAATCTGAAAAAAAATGATCGTCATATTTACATAATTTCCGACGGTCCTTGAACATATCATGTGTGAAGAACGCTCCCATCAGAAAAAGCAACCAAAACAAAGCTTAAAGTTATATTTAATCAAAAACAACTCTTTTTAAAATATCTCCCCAAATAAACCGTTTGCTCTAACACGATACTGTAAAAAACATAAAATTCTATGAGTAAGTCTATGAGAAAATTACCAATACGGCACTTGATTTATTGTAAACATTGTAAATATTATTTTATGGTCTCTACCCTTAGTTTTAAGTCTTCTACAATACAGCCTGGTTTTCACTTAATAAATGATGGTCTCATTTAGAGTATAATAGACCACAAAGCGGAGTATGCTTTAGAAGGGGCTTACTGTGGTTGACAAGTCGCTGCCGCAGAGCCATATACGGCGTATCTACGTCACTCCTATGGTATGGTTATAACCACAATACCAGATGACATCATGTGTCATATTACAACATTTGCATCGCTGTTCATCCATAGTTTTTGTCTTAAATTATGTTTTTATCCACCTTTTTTGTGTATTTCATCTGCTAAATGTTGATAATTCCGATAGCTTCTGAAGGCATCACAAGGAAAGCGCGCATGCGCCGTGCCCTCTCTTTCAACTGTCCCTACTACCTAACGCGAACGTCACCTTCCGCCGCCGATCCTCCATCCCAGAGCCAGCAGACCTGCACCCAAACATGAGCTTCACAGTGGAAGAGAGGGGGAACCCCAACTCCCTGAGCTACCGCTTATTCTTCAGTAAGTAGAAACCGAGTAGAAATGATAAAGTTGTTGTCATCGTTTGCTACTTTGAGGTCTTCTCACCAAAGCCCACCGGCTAGCTCTGCGACCTCCCACGTGTCACCTATTCACTATTGTTGCCGATTTGTTTCATCCTATCAGTGATAGTTTGTACTCATGTTCTGACTCAAACATCCACTTGTTCGCATAGTCCTAAATACTCGGTTTGAGCCATTTTAATTGGCGCAAACCAGTTTCGCGGGTTCACCGGTGTCCCGAGCAAGATGACGTAACGTCACCGTAAAGCTGATCGCAGACCATTCTTGCCGGGTGGACTTTGGAGAAGGAAGTTTGCTATTTTTGGGAAATCTGACGAGGTGCTCGAACACGTCATCGGGCATTAAAATCATAAAAGCTTTGAGTTGGTGAGGCAACGCCCTCTCTGATTATAAGACGTTAATAAACCACATTGGTTTGAATAGCACAGAAATGTGAGCTGTTAACCGGTTAATGCTCACTTTAGTAGCACAGACACATTATATACATCATTTTTTACAGTTTTTAAAGACAAACCCAAGTCAAGCCCTTAAAATGCAGTACTTTAAACACACGACCTTGGGGCACTACCCTAGATGTGTCATTGCACCATGAATTGGGAGAGGCCATGTTGTACACAAAAATACATCAACTGTAATCTGTGTTTTTTTCCCCCATCACGTAACTCCTTCAGCTAGAAGTGAAAGTAAGCAGTAATGAAAACATATCTGTACTCTGTTGGCAAATCCACTCCACCCGATGATATGACTCGATGTGTTCTGGTGTAGGACGCTTGTTGTTGATAAGAGACAGATAAGAGCAGCTCGTCCTCTGTGTTCATACATTGTTTCATCTGTTTCACAGAGAATGCTGAGGGAAAGTATGTTTCACCCTTCCATGACATACCAATATACGCTGATGAGAAGCAGGTACGGTAGCATCTGTCCCCTTTACAAATATATATGCATGTATTTTGTGTACCCTTTAAATAAACCCACTGCTCAACATGTAACCTGTAGTGCTGCCATGAATATGTAGTTTAAATAAGGAGAAAGGTCAGATTCTATTTCCTGAGGCAACGGCCTTTACTCTTTATTTCCTCAGTGCTGTGTCAATACCTCTTGTGATTGCAGTAGATTAGGTATTATCTTATCGTTGTGAAACAATTATCCCCTTAAAGTTTTGACCAAAGCAATGTCGGTAAAAGCCAGAATGTGGCACATTATAGCAGCAGTTGTTGTGTCCGATACTATTTCAGAGCAGTTAAAGATAAGTATTCTTGTCTCTTACAGAACATCTTCCACATGGTTGTCGAAGTACCAAGGTGGACAAACGCAAAGATGGAGGTATGAGTGTCAGTTAATCACAATGTCTTCAACATTTTATCCAACAGGGTTTAACATGTTTTCATTAACTAAAAGGTTAATCTGTCATCTGAAAGTTCAAACAGTGGGATTAACCATTAGTACATTTATTTCTAGTCATGCTATGTATTGCATTGCAACTAGATTCAAATGTGTAGTTCTTCGGTTGCAGTAAGACATCACAAAATGCACTTTAACATAAATGAAATAATACCTTTTTTTTGTCTTTTTAGCACTAATCAGTTCTTTTAAAAGTAACAGCAACACAATTGTATTTTCAGATCGCTACAAAAGACCCTTTGAACCCAGTAAAGCAAGATGTGAAGAAGGGCAAGTTGCGATATGTTGCCAATGTTTTCCCACATAAGGGCTACATATGGAACTACGGAGCCATTCCTCAGGTTAGTGTTTTTGTTTTTCCAATTCCAATGTGTCCTCCCGAAAAACTGTGACGGCATTAGATGAATCTTGCAGCGTTTAAAATGTACAACAGCAGAAGTTGTGTAATTGTACTTAAATTCAGCTGGCATGCTTTGTTGTGTGGCGCTTCAGACATGGGAAGATCCCGCCCACAAAGATGGAGACACCGGCTGCTGCGGTGACAACGACCCCATTGACGTCTGTGAGATCGGCACTAAGGTACGACACTAGCTGATGTTTGTCCCCTTTCATTAGGGCGCTAAGGCACCGCGATAATCGATTTCATTGTTTGTTGTGTACATTTATTTAATTGAAAAAGGCTAATGCTGCTGAGGTCAACAGAAAATGAACTGCAAACTCAAACGTCCTCTCTAGGTGTGTTCCCGCGGGGAGGTGATCAAAGTGAAGGTGCTCGGAGTCCTAGCCATGATCGATGAGGGCGAGACTGATTGGAAAGTGATTGCAATCAACGTGGAGGACCCTGAGGCCGGCGACCTGAACAGTAAGAACCCTCTTCTCTTTTTTTTCTTCGTAGCAGTCCTCCATCAGTCGTACTGAACTCATTATGTTGTCCTCGTTCAGACATCAGTGATGTCCAGCGCCTGAAACCTGGTTACCTGGAGTCCACGGTGGACTGGTTCAGGAGGTACAAAGTGCCAGACGGGAAGCCGGAGAACCGGTTTGCGTTCAACGACGAGTTCAAAGACATGGTCTCCACCCTAACACGCCCTTATTCCACTTTATCTTTCTACTGACAAATGGTTTTGGATTAATATTAAATGTACTTTCAGTGAACTGCAGTTCATGCCTCTGTCAAACGTGTGCTAACTTCACTTAAACTAGAATTCAATTTAATTACAAACAGATTGTTCTAAGCACGTAACTGTTTTTTCTGTGTTTCAGGACTTTGCCATTGAAGTAATCAAGAGCACTCACAACTTCTGGAAAGCCCTCATTTCCCAAAAGAGCAGTGCTGGTGAACTGAGCTGGTGAACACTGTTCTTACTACTTTGACCACGGCTGAAATTACAGCTGCTTTTTAGGACAAATGTTAACTGAAGGGTATTAAAGTATAGCTTCTAAACTATGAATGACTGTGTCTTATCATGCAATACAGCAAAAACACGTGTGTGTCGGCCAGTGACAGCCCGTACTGCTGTTCAGTGGAGGAGGCTAAAGCTGTTGTTGGTGGAGTAAGTATGATTTTGTTCTTCCCTTTTTTTTTTTCCCAACACGACGACAGATGTCAATACTTTATTCCTCCATCATAACTGATGTTTCACTCTATTTTTAGACGAGTCCTTGTGGAAAAGAAGAACCCATCCCCTCATCAGGTAGCTTTTCAAAGAAAATATTCCTGTAAATAATACATTATTTCTGCTGAACATGATTAATCTGATGTGAGATTGGCGTTTTGATTTGCAGTAGAGAAATGGTTCTACTATGAGAGGAAGTAAACCAGCAGCGGTTTGGATTGGAGCAGAGTGAAAGGCTCATCTCTCGTACTGGAAGATGGTCTTACCAATGGGAACCAATGGGATGTCTGGGCCTGGGCTGGCTGTTTCCCTGTAAATGGTTAGATGGTTTGATACTGTAGAAAAAGAAAAAGTTAAAAAAAGTACTCATGTCTTGACCAATTCATTTTCCTTATTTAACATGTCTGTGCTGTACTACTCTTGTAGATACTTGTGCCATCATGTATGAGAACTGCTTAAATAAAGCTTCTCTGGTTAAATTATCATCAAAGTGGGATTTCTTTGTCTGCAACAGAATCTATTCTGAATCAGGAGACGAGCACTAGTTTCTCTGTTGCTGCCATGGCCGCACGTTTAATGAGCAGAGCTGTTAGTGAGAGAACTTCAAGGAAATCAAGTTCAAATTTGCTTTATCTTTAAAATACTGCTTTGGACTCAACTTCTCTTTGTTATAAGGCTGCCACCTAGTGTTCAGTACCCTACATTACTTTTCTTTTTTGATGCATTTATTTACGGCTATACTTAATGTTTTTTACATTAATCTTTGTGATGTATGTTATAATAGGTAATTCCTCCGTCTTAATTTATTTGTGATAAACCTATACCATCAGGCATATGCTCTTCCTTTTTATTTTCTTTAACAGTTTATATGGACCAATAAAGAAAAACAAATAGGTATAATAGCAAAATCATTTCCAGATTTTTATTAGTAGTCCACACGGGGAATTGTGTTACTCAACATTTACAATGAAATACCTTTTTGGGACCTCGCATTCAAAATACACGGTCATATTTAACATAACTTTACATTGTGCTTGAGGACTTCATGTTTACCTGTGTCTAGAACATTGCATGTGTTAATATTGTATACAATTGCGTATTAAACATTCCCAAAATAATCAGCAGTAAAAATAGAGTGCGCGTTTATGTTACATTTTTAAGAAAACCATTACTAGCATGAGCCCCGCCTCCCGCGCGCTCTACATGCCATCCTAGTGACGTATTTCCGGCTAACTGTCAAACCCGTAGGCTACATGACGGTCGACGGGACAGTTTGGACCAAAAACCAACTGACGGGCAGTTCATAAATACGACAGACAAAGGTAATTCCCCCAATGTATATGTCAGGCTGACGTTGTTTCAGTCTCCGCGTTTTAAGTGTATTGTTCTGCTTGTTGAAGCACTTTCCTGACATTTGCGCGTATGTTGTTTACTAAATGTATCATTGTTTACTGTATGACAGCTGATGTCGCTACTACGAGCTTCACGTGATAAGCCCAACTGTACAAGTAAAATCGCTGAAACTAACATTTCCGAGGAGTCCAGTCATGACTTGTGTGGCCTGTTTTATGTTGTAGCACATGTATATTTATTTTAGAATACTGGTTTGAGATTTGCACGAAAACCTGGTGCGATTCCATGAATACCGACATTATAGAGGGTTACCTGAATTACACGCTGCCTGTTGTGTTAGTGTTTATTCCGTAGACGTTGGATTTAAATGTCATACTTTATAAATGGAAGTTTGGTGTTTACAAAAGGACCCAATACTGAAACACTGCATGATAAGTAATCAACAGTTGGGTATTTTGCCGGAGCCTTAGTCACTGAAGGCCTCACTATTCATTGCAACAAGCACATCAAGTCTCATATAGAGTGACAGGTGTGTGTGTGTGTGAGAGTGTGTGTGTGTGAGAGGGGGAAGCAGGGGGCGACTGCCGAGATCAAGTGTCCTTGCCGCAACCCGTCATAAAAATAGTCAAAGGAAGATCAGCGTAATTTAGTGAGACTGCTCTGAGAAACAAACTATCTAAAAATCTGTTGAAGCCTGTTTGTGGTTTAGTTTGCCCTCCTTTCCTTTCATGCTTTAAAGCTTGTGTGATTACACAGAGTTTACATACCAGCAGCGTAATCCAGAGTCGGGAATAATGATTAACAATGAGCTTCAGTGATAGATTCTGTCATTTTGCAACACTACATTAAATGCTATACTTATTTTCTAGCTCAGTCTGTCTTGATGTGCTGTGACTTGTTTTCATCTTCTCATGTGGGCTTATGAGGGGAGAAGAGGCTCCGTTAAGGTCCGACAGCCATTTGAACTAATCACTGTCCTGGGCTGTGTTCTTCATTGATGTGCTATAATGAATAATTTCAGTATGATCTGTATTACAGGCAGTCCAGAGAAATGTCTTTTATTTTGAATTGGATCTACAAGAGCTTCAGCAGTGTCTTGCAACTATTAGGTAAAGTACTGCACATATACTAATACTATATTCTAGCCTTAAGTACCAGAACTTTTGTCGTCATGTAAAATAAATTGACAGACCCAAACTAAAATGGCTGTAGCTCATGAACCACACTGAATGTAAGCATGGATGAGGTCTGTCCAGAGAGCAAACTTCCCAACATTGTCAGAAACATTATATGTTTGTCATTTTTAAATAACTGTCTGTGCCTTTGTCAGTAGAGGTCAATGTGTACAAACATAGATGTAGTAGAATTCCCATGTAGGGCTTCCCTGTCCTCCTCCTTCAGCTTACAGTGATCTTATTTTAAATGAATATGGTTTGTTTTCTTTGTATCCTCAGGGTTGTACAAGAAGAGTGGCAAGCTAGTGTTCCTCGGACTAGACAATGCTGGAAAAACTACACTCCTGCACATGCTCAGAGACGACCGGCTGGGACAACACGTGCCAACGCTGCATCCAAGTACATTCAGCGATTTGATATGCCACCAGTTCTGCTGTCAGTTTTGTTCCATCGCTTGTCTAAAGCCAGTGCATCCCCTCTGTCCTCAGCATCCGAGGAGCTGACCATAGCTGGGATGACTTTTACAACGTTTGACCTGGGAGGTCATGTACAAGGTAGGAATAAGAAAGATGCAGTTTGATGCCCTGGCAGCTGTGTGCAGGTACATGCTGACATTGTGTCGCTCTCACAGCACGAAGGATCTGGAAGAACTACCTCCCGGCCATAAACGGTGTAGTCTACATGGTGGATTCTGCAGACCATGAGCGACTAGCAGAGGCTAAAGTTGAACTGGATGTAAGTTAATTATATTGCTTTCACCTGTATATGACGCTCAATGCAGTTCTCTTTGGTGTATATTTGAACCCTTTCTGTCCGCAGGCCCTGTTGACGGATGAAACCATCTCAAACGTCCCGGTTCTCATCCTGGGGAATAAGATAGACCGCCCCGAGGCCATCAGCGAGGATGGGCTCAGAGGAATCTTTGGCCTTCATGGACAGACAACTGGAAAGGTAATCCACACATGAGGGATTATGTGGGAAAGCAGTAGAAACACTAAAACAGCATGTTTCCTATAGTTACTCCTTTCTCTGATATGACTTCATTAAATAGCACGTTTGTGTCCATGCTGCCTGGTCGTTCAAGGACATTTTCACTGAATAATAACAGTGTGTTTCACAAATCTTGCAATGCCAGATCATACCTCTCTTTCAGCACAGAAGAAAAGTGTTATTTTTCGGGTTATCAGGTTTAGGATATCGTACATGTTCTCTGTCCATGGTAAAATAGGTTGAAATGTGTCCTTTTGTTTCTTTTCAGGGCAAAGTGTCACTGAAGGAGCTGAATTTGAGGCCAATGGAGGTTTACATGTGTAGTGTGCTGAAGAGACAAGGATATGGAGATGGTTTCCGCTGGCTATCCCAGTACATTGACTGATTCATGCTCTTTTAACAAACCCCATTCACCATGCTACCTGCACACAGAAAGACATGTTCCACTAAAAAAAAAACACCTGCCATGGAGATATTTTGTTACCTACACCATATTTAGGGCTTGAACTGTGCCAGTAGGAAATGTGTTAAGAGTGTTTTGTGTTAATATACTTTGTATTCTTCATGAGTTCAAAGAAATCTATATCAATCATACCACGGCGAGTCAAAGAGTAAGTAATGAATCATCCATCTGTATTGTTCAGATTGAGTGTGGAGAATAATCTTCATGGTGTGGGTTCTACCTTTACTCAAAGCCTGTAGAGAATTCTGTCTACCATATAGAACATGTCGTCGCTGTGAACCAGTTTCTGACCCGGGTTTATTTTTAGCTGCTGGTGTAGACTTACAGTGAAGGTCAATTTGGTTAACATTTTGAGTTTGAGGTTACTTTGATTGAGAGTGAATATTATAATTATATCTTTATGTTTACCCTACTTATTTCAAACTAATGGGAATCTTGAAGAACCATAAGATTTTTCATCCAAGAAAACAGGTTTTCTGGAAAGTGCTGCAGAGATTTGGTGCCATATTTGTTATTAAGAAAAGTGTTAAGACAGGAGCCTGCTACCTCCAAGGATACGGACAGTTCTACTTATTTCATGTTTTTTCTAATTGTTTAAGGGTTTACAACTGGAGGCCAATTATATGAATGTGACCACAAGTGCATTAACTGACATTTTGCTGTGTTGAGCTTTATTTGATAGCACAGAACAGTGTCTAATAATTGCAGTATATGTAAACTGCATAAGCACAGCCAGGTGATGTGGTGGATGCCAAACTACTGGTTTTCATGATAGTTTATTGCTGTGAAACAACTCGAGTACTTTGTGACTAGTGGCTGCTCAAAACATGCAGTGATATTATGAGAGTACTTGGGTGGTGCATGCAAAAGATATGCATGAAATTACCTCTTAGTGCAATATTATACATTATTTTGTATATAAGCTCTTATTTATATTTTGCAATAAAAATGTGGCCTATCTTATATTACATCAAGCCTTGAGCTCTGACGTAATGTGCCCGTTACAAAAGGCAGGTCATATTGTTATTTAATGTGTGAAGTTTGAGCCTAATAAATATTTTTGACAATCCTATAAATCTTTCTTGTCTTGCAAATTTGTATCCATTTTGTCAAATGTATTACTACCATTATTATGGTCGAACTAGTTTTAAGATACTGTTATTACAAATGTAAAAAATGCTTAAAATCTACTGCTAAGAAATAATTAAATATCTAACCCAGCTAAACTAAAATTCATATAAAAGGAAACCTATATTGTACAGTGTTTGCAGTATAATTTAACATGTACAGCTGACCCAAAAGTAATCCGTAATTTTGGTAAATATAGTAGTCTGTTCAATTTTAATTTATGCGGTTCTCTGCTTTCTTAGAAAAAAAACAAAAAAAACAAACTATAAACAGGCTGCAATTATTTCATTTTTTGCCATTAAAACGCCAGATTTAGATATTAGTTAATTAAAAGGTAATTTAGGATACTTTCATACATTCATTTTTTCAAATGATCCCCAAAACATTCAAATAACTAAAAGGTAGGTTACAATGTAGCACAATAAACTATGTTCCCGCCTCCTTATTTCCCATTGGCTCAGAGATTTATCATCAATATTCGGACCAATCACATTACTCTGTGGGTGTAAGTTCTTTTCTCGTGGACCAATGAGACTCAAACAGGAAGCTAGACGACAGAATCCACGCTAACACTACTGTGGATACTATTAGCGATAGAAGAGTTAAAGTTTAAACTCGGAGTCAGTTTGCTAAACCACTACAGTATGGAGTCTTGTGTAACCACTGGACTCTGTGCAGCCTTTCAACGAGTCTTCTAGTCACTTATGCAGTAACGTGGTTAAAGTTCACATGCATCATGGAGGTACAGGAGGTGGAGAAGTGTTGCTGTGTCGTCCAGGTGTTTGAGGCTTTTTCAGCAAAGAAACCCGTGAGCTGCAGCGGAGTTATCGTCCACCGTCAGTCTGGTACAGTGCTATGCACGGGCGTCCCGTTTTCCCGTTTTACCACCGACAAAGAGTCCCTCTCCTCGGACCACGGGTTCCTGTCACCGCGCAGTTTCAGTGAAAAACTTAAAATCCGCGTCAGCTTGTCCTCACCCTCCCGGAGCAAAACAACACCTCACCGGGAGGTCGCGGCCGAGCTGCTGATGCTGGTGAACTGTCTGGAGTTTAAACGGGCTTTCCAGACAGTTTTCCAAGAGGCGGACAAGTGGCGTTTCCACATGGACGAGGAGGACGAGGAGCTGATCACAGACGCGCAGTCCCTCAGCTGGTTCGCGGTGCTCAAGCTAACCGTGGCGGCAGACAGCGGCCCGAATGCGGGGACCATACCCTGGCAGAGCGGCTCGTCTCTCCGTAAAGGCTGCCCGGTTGTTGCGTGCGGCTCACCTTTCGGCTCCCTCTGCTTGGACCTCTTCGGCAGCAGCCTCAGCAGGGGCATCGTCAGCAACCTGTCCGGGGAGGACAACGCCGTCATCCTCACAGACGCCCGCTGCTTGCCGGGCACAGAGGGCGGAGGGTTGTTCGCGGTGAAACGCCCGGACGACGTGCGTCTCCTCGGACTGATCGTGTCTCCGTTTGGGTGGAAGGCGAACGAGTGGATAGGCCTCACGCTGGTCTGCTCGGTCCACTCGATCTTCAGGAACATCATCCGCTGCACGAGAGGTCAAGATCCACTCCGAGGTGTTTGGCTCCATCCGGGTGATGCGGGCCTCCTCGTGTCCGCCGCGGCCCACGAGACCAGAGCTGTGAAATGCCCCACTGTGTGCTTCGTGGACAGCGGACTGTTCTGGGGCTCAGGGGTGGTCGTCGCCCCTCGGCTGGTTGTGACCTGCCGCCACGTCGTCAACGGGAAGTCGACAGTCAACCTGAAGTTCCATCACAGGGACAGGTGACAGCACATGTTAACCCCTTTAAATGTGGGCTGTCAGGTAACTCTAACAACTAACTAAAACCTGTTAACCTTCTCAAATCTAGACACTTTGACTATAGCAGGAAAGCCACAGGTGGAACTAATAACCCTAACGATGGCTCTGTCACATCAGAAAGTTTATTTTATTTTAACTTTATTAACAAAAGCACATCAGAACGTGAAATTCCTTTTCACCTTTCAGGGCCTTTCAACAGGCTGTAATGTTTCTGATTTGGTACAAACAATGCAGAATATGTAGCCTAATGTTTGCTGTTTGTTTTGGCCACTTCTGTTTCACAGAGTCCATGATGTCGTGGGTGATGTGCTGTTTGCCACCAAAGCCTCCTCACCCTATGATTTGGCTTTGGTGCAGCTGAGGGACTCCGTCACAGAGGCTGTGGTCCCTTACATGGCTCAGAGTTACAGTCCAGGTTTGACTTCAGTCTTGTTTAGTCAAAATAGTGTTTTTTTGGGAGTAACATCTGGATTTACAGTCGGTGCCAGAAGAGATTGGTCTCTTTAGCCCAAATAAACGGTTATAAGACTGATGTTCAGCTTGGTTTGCCTGCCTGCAGGGGAATCTGTAGTTGTGGTGGGATATGGTGGCTTGGGCCGGAGATGTGGTCCGTCCCTGACCTGTGGTGTCCTCTCCAAAACCATCAGCTGGAAGGACCAGCCTGTGATGCTTCAGACCACTTGTGCAGTACAAGCAGGGACCAGCGGGGGTGCTGTGGTGCGGACACGCTCAGGAGAGCTGCTGGGTAAGAAACCCTGCAACTACAAAATCCTGTACTCCTTTTGATCAGTGGGGGGCACATGATGACCATAGAAAACATACTGTAACAATGCACCCCTGTGTAGAGAGAAGGCAGCTATACACACCAGATCGCTCTGTCTGCAGTGCTGTATGTGCATTTTTAAGACTATAAGGATTATTTTCTGTTTTGCAGGTATCGTGTCTAGCAACACAAGGGACTTTGCTGCCAAAGTGACCTACCCGCACCTCAACTTTAGCATCCCAGTGAGCGTCTTCCAGAGATTGTTGCAGCGTTTTCACCAGACAAAGGATGTTAATGTGTTCAGGGTGTTGGATAGCACAGAAAAAGAAGTCGGCACAGTGTGGCGGCTACAGAGTGCACAAAGCAAGCTATAACCGAGGACCCCCGCAGCTTGAGATATGCTAGAGAAGAGGATTAGATGGTTGAATCAATATGGATGATATGTATACTCGTATTAAATAATCAAGTTGATATTATGTGTAATATTTTAAACCGTTGCTGTTTCATTCCTCACTTTGTTACAAAGTCAAGTCTGAAGGAGTAAATGCAATTAAAATCATTAATTTATAATGTTCATACTCTCACCCAGAATTATGCAGTAAACTGTGAAATATTGATGTTAAATTGACTTTAATACCTGCTGAGATAGTTTTATTATACTGTAATGTAATTCTATCAATAAAATAGTTTATTCTTGTGATATTTCGGTGGACTCTGGGTACCAGAGAAATTTAGAGCGAAAGGGCTGAATAAAGCAGGATTTAATACCCATATTATTTCCTATGTAAATTCACAAAACACCAGATAAAACAACGGGAGAAAAAGTGCATCAGGTTTCACCTAAACCATTTAAGCCTTAGTCATTTAACAGTTGCAATATGAAGAAAAGACATTACACTTTGAATGTGTTTTAATTTAAATCTGGTTCTGTTACATATGGCTTGTTTTTCACCAAACGGGAGGAATAATCAGCATTACTTGCTGATGTGTTGCTGAAAATGATTGGTCCCTTTGGGTAGCCACAGACGCGCTGTCAGTATCAGGTATTCAGACATCGGTTGGCAGGCATGCCCACTCACAGCTAACACATTTACGGCTTCACCCACTGGGACATTACCGGATTTCCATTATCACCGAAATGTGAAACTGAGAAATTACATTTCAGAGGATTGGTAACTGTCAGTTTTTACAATACGAAGACAAGTTCTCTTGGCCCGAGCTTCCAAGAATATGCATACACTGAATCTTAACTGTAAGGTTTCTATTTCACTGTTCACAGTGGAGAGGCTTGAGCAATGTCCCGAGGGGGCCGAGGAGGGTTTTTCTAAAGGTATTGTGCTGTTAGAAGTGCTGATATGCAGACTGTATTTCATTTCTGCTGGTTTCCCGTAGATATTAGCTACACTCCACTGCAGAGGGAGGTAAGGCAAGAGCAGAAGTGAGCTGACAATAAAATGTGCTCACACATAGATTTATGTCTTTGAAATGGTAGTTGTTAAGATGGGCTGCATCATTATCTATTATGTTTGTTATTAATATTCATTAATCTTTCAAGAATGTTATTTAACTTGCTTGAAAATGGTTAAGTTGATCACCTAACTGGCAGATTTTACTTGTAATAATAGCGATATTTTAAGAGTCAGTGTTTTAAGACTTGTTTAAATGAGGAAACCACAGATAAAAAAATAAATAAAATAGACATTTGGTATGCTAAAAACTGCTATATCTATCTCTATTTATATAAACACCCACACACACATAAACACACACATTGACGTTATTAGTTCCAGCTGTGGTTTTCTTGCTATAAGTAGTCAAAAGGTTTGCTGTGAGAAGGGTCCAGTAAACATGCTGCACAACACCATTGCTGGTGCTAAAATTTGACAAGAAATGAAGAAAGAACAAATGCACAGACTTACATGTATGGTGGCCGGCTGGGCCACATAAACAAGTTTATTTTATTTCAATTTTTTTTATTAAACACAATAATTGATCCACATTATGATACGATGTACACTTGTCAACTAAGCAGTATATTCTGCTAGATTTTCAAGGCGTTGATAACAGGACTAATAGGTGACAATCTGTCTTCTGATACACACATTATATACAAGCGAAAGAGTGATGCGTGAGAAACCTTTTTTTTCATTACTGTCACATATGAGCCGAAGCAAATGACATGTAAACGGTAAAGTCAAAGGGTGCTTTTCAATATTCTAACGTGGCTTCCTCTCTTTATCGCCTGTTTCCTGCCTGAACTCAAAAGTGGTTATCTAAATGTTGTTATTCTGCAGAAAGAAAAGATGAAAGAGGCCAATTTGGACGATTGAAATGCACTCAGTCTTTCTACATTTTTCAATGCAAGCACATGACAAGCACCTGCAACTGCTTAGAGTCTCCACTATGCATCAGCTAAAACTGCTCAAAGATAGTTCAAAGGACTTACAACAGAAGAGAACAAAGATTCACAAGTATGAGGGACAAAATTCTCTAGACCTATAATTAATAGTGATATGTCCCCTTCCCTTGCCTGTTTAAAGTACATCCTGTAACATTAAATACGGCCATAACATATGCATATTCCCTCTCCCAACCCGTGCAACCCTCTCCCTTCACTTTTTCATAAGCAAGTGTTGTTCTGAGTGTGAGAGCTTCACCCAGTCCATCTCTTTGCAGGATCTTTGTGTTTGTGTGTGTGTGTCTGTGTGTCTGTGTGTGTGTTCAGGACCATCAAGATGCTCTCGTAGAGAGCTTGGACTACATGTTTACCAGATATAGCCCCCATCATCCACCTCCCCCACCTCTCCCTCTTCCTCTTCAGCCTCCTCTGCAGTCTCCTCAGCCTCTTTCTCCTCCTCGTCTTCCCATCCAACACCACTGCCAATATCACCTGAATATGCCATTTCATCATCTGTAGAGAGACGGGCAGAACACATGCAGGGCAGGGGGGGGGGGGGGGGGAGGGGGATTTAATAATCTACTTTGGCAATCTTTTATATTGCAATAAATTCTGTTCAGCATGTCTTCCTCTCAACTTTGATGAAGTTCTTTCAATCAATGAGAAATGCTGAAATCAATTTAAATATATTGACTGCAATGGTAAAAAAAAAGAAAGAAGGGGGCATGTGTTTGACTTTGTCTGGACTTTAATAGCCATTTCTAAACCTTGCCAGAGGAGCCATTCTTATCAAGCGCAGGTTCAGTCCAACCAGCCCTCATTTATCTTGAAAGACTTTTCTCACAGCGACAAAGCGGCGCTTTAGAATGCAAATGACTCCGGACACATGAATGTGGCACTGGTCCCTGCAGTGAGTTATGTTGCAGTGGGCCTCAGTCCTTTAACATAAAGAAAGCCTTGTGCAGAAGGCATGTTGGGGGTGCAGTAGAGAAGTGGGCCAATCCGCAGCGGACATGTTGAGTTTTTTTTCCCTGCCACATACAGCTTTCAATTTCAAATTATATTGTTATATATATATTGACAGCTGAAACCTAGGGGACTTACCGCAGTCTGGCTTGCCACGCATCCTAGATCTGGCTACTTCTCCTCCGTTTTGGTCAACACACCAGCACTCTCCCCTCTCACACTGCTGCTTCCTGTAGTAGCCGTCCTCATCACAGCTTGGGATGAATCGACCTGGCGTTCACACGCAAGAACACAAACAAATAAGAGTCGGGATACGGCAAAGCAACCTCAACACACAACCCATCCTGCATGGTGCCTCATCACACACGGCGCCGAGGCCAGGTGAGAATGTAATGCATGCAGCGTATGTGGCAGCCAATTCCATATTCCATGAATACAAATATGCTCACGGAGCAAGACAGGGAGCAAGAATTAAGTCAGCATATTGGGGTGGTGTGGATGTGGGGGGTGGCTAGCTAATCATCATGGCATAAGGGAGGCACACCAGATTGGCAAGTTTTCAATTTCTGAACCATTACGTGAATATGAAACACCGCCTGTGTCCACACAGTGCAGAAAGCCAAGCACAACATACTGTCGGTGCATGGATCACCATCTTACTGATCAGCGACTAATCCCCACCTCCTGCTTGTCATCTGCTGGATGAAATCCCTCCACCAAGAAAGACAGATCCAATTGGGCTTAAATGCTCTCACGAGAAGCGAGATACGTACCAAACTTTCTCTTGCCGCCGTCTAATACTTGGATCCTCTCCAGGTCAGCCAGGCAAGGTGGCTCTTAAAAAGGACAGAAAATATTATTTTTTTACAAGAGAACAAAACACACTTTTAGCCACATTTAGACACAGAACAGAGATAATAACTATACCTAAATTCTGCCAAAAACAATCAACAGTCAAAATTGAAGTATCTTCTGGGTCTAATCAATATTTTCCAATTCCAGTGTGTGTGCTTCTCAATCAAAGAAGTGTATTAGCGTGGGACTGCTTTGCTGGTTGGCTCACAGGCTCAGTCTCTGAGAGCTGTGGGAGAACCAGGCTGTCAGCAAGCAGCAGGAATGTTTTTAGCTCCTTGTGGTGACCGTTTCACCCCTCAGGGGAACGAGAGGAGGAGAAGGAAGACAAATAGTGATGGACCAGCACATAACAGACAGTTGGCTACCTGAGGGGCAGTTGAGCGCCTTGAAGTTTGAATGCAAGGGGAATATGTCAGCAAGGAGGCGTGTGACTGTGTGTATATCTGAGGACAGTGACACACACACACACACATACACACTCTCACACACACCTCCTCCCCAGAATACTCACTCTCTCTCCAGAAGCAGAGGCACCACTCGGCGGTGGAGACCTTGCCGTCCCTGTAGGAGTCACAGGAGTTGAAGAAGGGCCGGATGCAGACCTCGTACTTGTCCAGGTTGATGGCAGCCAGCTCGGCCTGGTCCAGGTACAGGTCGCCATTTGTGTCCAGCTTGGAAAACATCCAGCCTATGGAGTCCTTACAGCTGGCAACCAGGCTCCTGTCCAGCACTGCAAACACAAAGACAGACAAACAAACATTCATTTTGATCAAGAGACAGCTGCACAGATGGAAAATGAAACCATGCCAGTGTGCTCAGAATTATCTCCTGTTTCCAATGCAAATCATTTTCTTAATTATGTTCCCAGTTTCAACAACAGCAAAAAAAAAAGGGTTCCATCTACAAAAACTGCATCATTATCAACATTTTACAAGAATTTCCTTCTTCTCACTTTACAGCCCGGTTAAGACTTGGTGCTTATCGAGCAGTAACTTGTGGCCGAACAGGTCCCGAGGCTCCATTCCTTTTGCTTTTGAAGCACAGCATGTGATGAAATGTTATCTTGATCCATCCACCCAAAAGTGTTAGGAGTTTCCAGCCCTGAAACTGTTTTCAAACATGTTGGATATCCAGCAATCGGGTGCAAGATTTATCCAGGGAGAGCTGCAGCAAACATGAAGGTGGAGGCAGCACCAGCTGAACCGTGAAGCTGATTTTAAAAAATGTTTCCTATGTACTTCTTTTTGCTTGTCCAATTAAAACAAGACTTAAACTTGTTCATTGACATTTTTTTTATAGAATGCAGCCTGTGGCTGTAGTATTGTAACTCCCTCTTAATGAAGTCTGGATTTATGAAATAGTAGCTCTAACCCGGCGTGGTGCTGGCTGCAGTGGTTCTGGCCCCAGTCTTGCTGTTGTTGTTCTGCTTGGCATTGCTCTGCAGTAGCTGGAACCAGTCCCTCAGACGCTCCCCGAGATCAGCCAGATCCTGTCCGGTACAGCTCTCTGTGGAGGCCAGAGGGAGATGAATAACATGATATATGTTACACCTATTCATGTATTTAGGATGATTGTTGTGTGTGTGTGAGAGAGAGAGTGAGACATACAGAATAAAAGAGATGTGAAGCCTTGTATTGTAATCAATTCATGTCAAATATATATTTTTTGTCATAGCTTCTGTATGTATTTAGTCTTACCATGTCTACTCTCCATGGATGCAGGGGCAGCAGTCGCACAAGGACACAGACCTGAACACTTCAGGGTAAGATCCTTCCCTGTAAGACATGCCTGCTGCTCCAGCTTGCACTGCAACACAAGGCGTCATCGAGAACAAGGGGACACAAAGGTGAAGTAAAATGAGTTATTGCCGCAAGATAGATCAAATATTCATGAGGTGACTGACTGTACGCCTTAATTCAAATCTGAGATTCGCTCCTGAATGTGCTGTCCAACCTCTGCTTGCACACAAGGTCAGGAATAGTGATCCAGAAGACGAAGCATAAATCAATAAACACATGGGTTTCTGTCACCACCAGCCACCAATTGGTCCTTCTGAGGCTATATATCATGCCTCTGTGTCTCAGTTTTCCCCCTGAGAGTCTCCTCGCACTACTCTGCTCTGAATGTCCAAGTTGTATGTCACTATTTACCCCACAATGCTTAGCACATTGTTTTAGCATGCGGATGAAACAAAGAGCCAACGCTGTGAATATATGTACCAATGCCTGAATGTCTGTGTCTGTTGACTAGTAATAGGTGTCAAGACTATTTTAGCAATCCTATATCACAAGATATGTTATTATAAAGCATACAGAACATATGTGATGCTGAAGCCACACGCACAATATTTCCACTTCTTTGTTGAGGGGGATGCTGTACAGTTCCACTGCCAATGCATCCTCCAGCTTCACACAGTGATTATTTCTACCGTCTTTTCTTTTCGGAAGAAATGCACAAGTTCACACCAATTAAGATTTTTCTTTTTTTTTCTGTATGCTTAGACTGCATGTTCGTTAGCCAACTGGTTGCAACAGAAACAAGCTGTAAACACAGAATTGACATAATCAACATCTCATAAAAGTTTATGGCGAATGTGTTAGCAAACACTTTTATATCCAGAAGACAATGAAGACATTCTTTCAGAGTTGTGCTTCTGGCCAGCTGGCAAACGTGGGTCTGACATCTACTCTCCTTTTTGCTCTGCTTTATTCTCCAACAACTCCTGAGGGAAATATCTGTCTCTTTAGCTGCTAAATGCTTCTTTATGTTCCCCAGCTAGT